ATGATTAATGTCAGGCTCCAAGAGAATGAAGAGAGGTTACAAGTGTTGCTTCAGGCTATTTTTCAGTCTACCTTAGTTGACAAAACTGATACCTTACTGCAGCTCAAGTAAAGTTTGGATTTAAATAAAAGAATATAAGGATGTTTTAAGTAATCAAGTTAAGCTTGTTGCCTGGGAAATGCATAGAAGCAGAGGCTTTGATACACTGTGTGAATATCTGTTTGCTAAAACACAGGTGTCTCTTCTTGGAGCTATATAATCTTAATGCTTTTATCAATAGAATTATTCCATTTATGTTTGTGTGAATATCTGTTTGCTAAAACACAAGTGTCTCTTCTTGGAGCTATATAATCTTAGTGCTTTTATCAATAGAATTATTCCATTTATGTTTCTGAGCTGTGACACTGAAGGCTTTCTTTCTGCCTGTTAAAATCTTTGTACCTCACCTGGGCTATCCTCCCAAGTTTTCTGGCCTACAAGGGTGTTGTGGTTCACCACAGCTGGCCACTAAGCACCACACAGCTGCTTGCCCACCCCCACTCCCTCCCGGCCCCCCCAGTGCAATGGGGGAGAGAATCGGAAAGAAAAAAAAAGGTAAAACTCTAGGGTTGACATAAAGGCAGTTTAATAGGACATGAAAGTAAGATGATAATGCAAAACAAGGAATTAATTCATTCACTACTTCCCATCCACAGGCAGATGTTCAGCCATCTCCCGGAAAGCAGGGCTCCATCATGTGTAACAGTGACTTGGGAAGGCAAACGCCATCACTCTGCCCCCTCCTTCCTTTCTTTTTCCCCCAACTTAATATGCTGAGCATGACGTCATATGGTATGGAATATCCCTTTGGTCAGTTGGGGTCAGCTGTCCTGGCTAGGTCCCCTCCCAACTTCTTGCGCACCCCTAGCCTACTTCCTGGTGGTGTGAGGGGCAGAAAAGCCTTGGCTCTGTGTAAGCGCTGCTCAGCATTAACAAGAACATCTCTGTATTATCAATGCTGTTTTCAGCACAAATCCAAAACATAGCCCCATACTATGAAGAAAATTAACTCTATCTCAGCCAACAAACAGCACAAAAAGATGGGACAAAACCTGTTTTGTAAGCTCCTTCAAAAAAGAAGGCTTGATTAATTTCTGGGAATACCAAGCTTTAGGCAAAAGGTGAGTTTTTCTTCTGAAGTGGTGACCAATACTGTGTCAATATAGTTTGGTGTCCTGTTGACAGCTGTTCTTTTTAAAGTTACTCCTTCCAGTTGTCAGGCCTGCTGGTGCAATTGAGTTTTTTGGCCTGCTTTGTCAACCAGTTTGAGTTAGGGTGATGCTATTGAGGCAGCACAGAATCGATGCTTGGAAATGGAAATGTCCTCTCTGATTTGCAGTGATGTGAAGTGTTGCCAGAACTGGCTAGAGACAGCTGCTGGAAAAACTCCAGGGTCGTCATGTTATCAGTTTTTCAAGTTCATGGTAATAACTGAAATGTCTCACTACATCCACAAAACAGAGTACATTGGAGCACTGTTCATAAGTCTTTTGCTGAGGATGGTATCCAGGATGCAGTCTAGTAGGAATGACTTGGCAGGTCCTGTGAGTATTGGCAAGGTCTCTGCCATGCATGAATTAAACTGTGGTGCATTCCATGGTGCATCATGACACATCCTGCGAGAGAACACTGCTGCTGGGCTGATTGCATGGGAAGCATGGGGGCAATGTAATATACCTGCATGCAATGCATCAAGTAACTGCAAATGGCTGCTTCTTTGTCTTCATTAAAGCAATGCTTGAAAACGCAAGCATGACTAGTAGTCCAATATACTTAAATACAGTGATGTTCCTAGATAAGTAACTGCTAGAAAGGTGCCTCAGTCAAGTTTGTGCACATGGGGTTATGATAGAATATGACAAAATGTAAATCTGGATTTGGAGGCAATTTTATAAGCACAAAATGGCTTCCAGATGCTTGATAGGAAAAGTGGAATCAGGCCGGTGGTAGAGTTTGTTTCTGCTGTGGGACAAACTTTAATGTTGTGGTACTTGAACAAGAGAAGAGACTTCATCTTGGACAGATCAGTTTGGTTTTCTTTTAAGCCTCTAACCCAGTAACTCCTGAATTCTGGAAGTCAGGAAGATAGGATATTGGTACTGTTGTGCTATGTGTCTGAAGGGCCATGTTACCTCAATTTATCGTTCATCAGTAACTTAAATCTCATCTGAGTTATAGTTTTCAGCTACTGGTTGATCCTGAAAGGGTATTGGTTCTTAAATTGTGTATAAAATATTTTCTTGATACTTTTTGAAAGAGTTGGTACTTACTGTTGTTAAATCTTGCTTAATAATGTGTCATAGGAAGAGTGAGAGGCCAGAAGGTACTTCAGTGCTTTTTGTTCTTCTTATCCCAAAAGTGGATCCCCATACTTGGGAGTTTGTCCTCTTGCAAGCAGTTAATATGCACTCTGAAGTCTGTGCTGTATTGAGAATTGACACAAGTATAGTGTGTTGGAATTAGAGAAGAACTTGGTTATCTGCTGATGTATGTAATCCTGAGGTTACATACTGGATCAGTGGTCTTGCTTCTATGTGTTGGCAAGCTAAACTGACAGAAAACAAAGATATTTTTTCTTTTTTTTCCCCCCTTTACAACAGTATAAGAAGGTGGTGCTCTAAAAATGGCAGGTTTTTTGGTCCTCTTTGGAGCTTATTTTAAACCAATTATTTCTTCCAGGTAAGAGAGAAAAGGCCCTTGATTTTTAATGGAAGTTATACTTAAGAAGCCTTTAAAAGGGGTTTTGATGCTGAAAACCAGTTTTCTTTTGTAATTTCTTAAAACATAGAGAATACTGAAGATCTGAAATGTAGACTATATGTAAAGCTGATGAACTTCACTGTTGCTGCTGGGAATGAAAGCCCAGCTCAAGGCTTCACTTCAGAGAAATGTCTAGTGCCCTAAGCTCTGACTTAATAATGTTTGTAATCTGCCAATTTGCAGGTAAGCATTACGAGGAAGAAGAGGAGGAGGATGCCCTACCTGACTCAGATGCCCTGCCAGACTCAGATGACGAGGTGGATTTGGATAAGCCACGCCCCATACAGATTGTTCTTGCTCATGAAGATGACCATAACTTTGAATTAGATGAAGAAGCATTGGAAAAAATCTTGCTTCAGGAACACATCAAAGATCTTAACATAGTAGTTGTGTCTGTAGCAGGAGCTTTCCGCAAAGGAAAATCTTTTCTGCTGGACTTCATGCTTAGATACATGTATAACAGGGTGAGTAAAATGGATTTTCCCTGCAGCAAAAAAACTAGTTTGGTATTTTAGTCATTTACCTTTGTATTTGTTGACTTGAGCACAAATATAGCAGATCAAATTTTTCTTACTTATTGGGGGGTGGGGAAGCCAGCTACTCTTTCTACTCTGAAGAAGTGTATTAAGTGACAGTTTTTCAATATAAATTTTCCTGCAATTATTAAAGGAACTTATTGGTGTCCTGATGTAAGTGGGCATGAGAAGAATTTGAATGAGAGTGGTGGTGGCCTTCAAGTTCACTTTGGGGAACGGCTCATCCACGTGGTGGCTTGGAGGAATCTTGCTTTGACTTGATCTCCTGAAATCATGTTGTAGCACTAGCTTACCCATTGTTGCAAAAAGTCTTATCAGGTAACTATTGGAGGACTAAATCTGCTTAAGTCTTAGGTATGGCAAAAGGGAGAAAGTGTCTGGTTTGCTAATTGGAATGTGTCTCTGAACATAGTTCAGAAACTCTTTAAATCCTTTCAAGTCATTGGTTAATGAATGCCTAATCCAAAATTTAATTTCTTCTATTAATTTGTAGCTTTTGGCTGGTGTTGTCTTGTGTCTACTATACTTTGAACTCTTGGCTGATATGGAGAATGTGGGGTAGGGCCTCCTGTGAACATACCCATCTGCCTGTCACAGGTTGTAGTGTGTTGCTTTTAATCTGCATAGTGAATATTGACAATTCAGTGTTTTGTTGCTTTTTGAACCTCTTAAAAACAAACAAAACCCCCTAATTCCTTTTCCCGTCACTGTTCTTTGGAGTTGGAATTCATGGTAGCACAAACTAACCACAAGTGCATCTATTTTACTTTTGTGCTGGCTGGCTTGAGAAGAAATAAAGATGAACCCTGCAGTTACAGGAAATATGGGAATATTGCAAAGAAGCTGCTGGTGGTTGGCAGATGAAGACTTCCTTTCTCTCACTCCCAGTAGTGCCTGCTATTGAATTCCTCTCACTGATTTGCCAAGAGGTCCATGAGAAAGACACTGAGGATGTGGTAGGAAGAATACAGAGTAGCAAGCTGGTGCTCCCAACTTCTTAAGACTCTTAACCTAGGGAGGAACAAATGTTTCATTGATATAGCTGTTCAGTGGGTGGTCTTTTGTGTGTATATATAAATCCTCTCTAGTCTCCTGTTTATATTACCTCAGCCCCCCAAAACAAACCACATATGAACAAAAAAATGCGAATTCCCAAGAAGTATAGCAATCTGAGCTAGATGGTGGCTGGGTAGAGGTAGTGCTAGTTCCTTCCAAAAATAGAAGAAGTGAGCTTTAAGCAAATACTCCAACTTTCAGATTATGAAATAAACCAAAAGTTCATAAAACAAAATGGATTGAAACACTGTTTCAGGCTTGTGTAATATCATGCCTCTCTGTTCTCTTTATTGTGCAATCACTTTTTTCAGTTTTCTATAGGTGTCCTTCATAATACCATTTGTTTAACTTAAACTGAAGATGAAGGCAAACTTGGCCATCTACTGTAACAACTATCCCTTACCAAAAGCAGGGACGTCTTGCTCTCTACGTGCTGCTTCTGGCCAGACACTTGCATTTTGAAGCTGTAATGCTTGCAGGCCCTTAGCTGAGCTGATCCAACTCAATAATGCATCAGAACACACTGCACTTTGCTGAATCGTTTTCCTGCCAGCTCGGTGACATAAACTGGCTTAGGGAAGGAGATTGACAAGCATCAGAGCTGCTGCAAACTGATTGATGGGAGTTGAGGCTGAGAGAAGATAAGTTCACACCTGTATTGTATTGGTCCTTTCATTAATGTGGAATATATTTAGAGAGGTTATCTTTTAGGTGACTGATACAAAATTGTAATGCAACTTGATTTCATGGAGAAACAAAATCTCTTTTTCTTCCTCCCATCTCTTGAATATCTTTCAAGCCAACTTGATGGAGACTGTTAAAATACTGACTTTCAACTAAAGAAAGATGGAATTAATGAGCTAGGAGTATTTCAAACTGAGGCAAAGGTCAGTCAGAGACAGGCTTAAGCACATCATCCATAAGATGAAGCAGCTTCAGCTGAAGTTGTACCTGTTAAGACACCAAAGTCTCCTGTGATGTGAATCGCATGTGAAATCAAATGTGGTCATATCAAGTGCTCATTTGAGGGACTTATCAAAAGATTTGTGTAGTTTTGCTCTGAATTGCCATAAATAAGAACAATTCCTGGACCAAGCTGGGGAAGAAAGTATTCTTGTATAAATGGCAAATGAGACATAGTGTGAATAATGTAACAGATTTTTTCCAAAAAATGAAAAGCTACAGTCTATTGACATATACCTGCAAAATATGATTTGGCATTGCAAAACTGTATTCTGGAGTGTAGAGTGTACTGAAGCCCAAAGCAGGCCTGGCACTTTGATTTCTAGAGTCGTCAGTGTATGTATAAGCATCTTCTAGGATAAAAAACTCCAGAGGGAAGCTATTTGGGGTTTGCTTAGTCTCTCTGGTATATACATGACAAAACAAAAAAAACCCCCATAACCTACCTGTAAAGATCTGTGCCTCTCTTCACTTGGGCACCTGTGTTCACTTTCTGATCTTAAATCTGCTCATCTCATTTACTTGTTGCCACATCTGATCCAAATAGAGCTGAATGGTGTGCACTTAGCATTTGGGAGAATGCTGGTGCAGAACTGCTTGATTGCTTTTCCCCTCTTAGTATGGTTTGCTCTGTATGCTGCTAGGCATGAGGAATGTGTGTGGGATTTTTTTCTGATCCCCCCTTTTAAAATAAGCAGTTTCACTTAGTTGTGGTAAGTATTTCTATTCTGTACAGCCCCTGGGTGTTCATGCTGTTTTCTGATATGTGGAGAGATGTGTCTTGAGCTCTTTTCTAAAAACTGCCAGTGCAGAGTCAGCAAGGTAGAGACCATAGCCTAGTGAATTGAGAAGTCTTCCCTTTGAGCTTCTCAAAGAGCACACTTTCCTGGCTGATAATCTTCTCTGAGCAGTTAGATGCAAATTCATTAAATGTCTCTTTCTGTTCTGCCAGCATGCTGTGGTCTAGCCTGTGAAATAAAGGTTTGTCTCTAAGCCTCCTTGTTAGTTAAACTATTGTCTGCCTACTGCTTCTCTCTCGTAGGATTTTAGTGTATATAAACCTATCACAGGGAAACTTCCTCAGGGTGCCTGTTCACGCCCCTTACTTGCCCAGTACATAAACTGCATTTCTGGGTTAAATGTACTCATGTAATGACTGGAATCTTCTGCATGAGCCACTGCTCCGTGTATGGCCTGTCCTTAAGGAGCGAAGACCTTGTTACAGTACCATCAGCCAGAAATGTTAGCTGCAAACTGTACTTGACTCTCTGATAGCCTTTCCCAAAGTGGGCAATATGCCAAAAAAAATTAATATGGATGGGTTGATCAGTGTGTATGAAACTCTCAATATGACCTTTTCTCTTGAATCCTAATCACTTAGGAAAAATTATTTTGTATAGATTGTAGATCTTCTGGTTCTTGCCTATTCTCTTCGGCTTCTGCATGCTGGCGTTTGGAGTGTTGTGCTGCCCTCTGTTAGTGCAGGGGTTTAGGTCCTTAGCTTCAGCAGTTGACCAGTTTGTGAGGGGGGAAAGGAGAGGATTAAGTCAAGATTAGACTATTTTTTTATTCCTTGTAGAGGTTTAGCTGTTCCTGTAGTTAAAAATGCATGCTATTTACAACTGTTTTGAAGAGAAGACCATGAGTACAAAGTGAAATTGATGGACAACACTAGAGCTCTTCTCGTTAGCTCTGAGACTTGAAAGCTGTGCATGTATACTCTTCACTGGTTGGAGTTGTGCAACTGCTGAAATACAGTAGACTCAAACAATGTTTCTTGGTAGATGATCCTGGAAACACAGCAGAGTAGCATTGTGTTTTAATACTTTGTGTAGTGTGGTCAATCAGCTCTGAGGAAAATGAGAGTACAATGTGGAAGTCCGTTAAAACATAACATATTAAAAATAAAAATCTCTTCCTTGGTTTTAAATAAGCTTCTCCTCTTGTTTTGTAGACTTCTGCTTGCTGGATAGGTGGAAACACTGAGCCATTGACTGGGTTTACATGGAGGGGTGGATGTGAACGGGAAACCACTGGCATTCAGATTTGGAGTGAAGTGTTTGTAATTGATAAACCCAATGGGACAAAGGTAAGTGCTTGAATTAGGTGTATGTAAGGAGTTTTTTACCTATATGTGTATACCTTTAATGCCATGGGTTTCATGGAGGCAGTTCAAACATCATTTGCTTTCTTTTGCTTTCAATAACTGCATAACATGTTTGGAAACCTTCTGTCAGTGTATGTATGAATTTTCCTGCTAGGTTGTAAGATTCAATCTCCAACAATAGTGCCATTCTGAGAGTACTTTGTTTTGGCAAAGTCTACTCTGTCCAGGCTGATGGGTGGATTATCCTGTGAATGTTGTAAAACTGTAATGACTATTAATATCATATATGGACAAATGCTGTGATAAGAACAGCTCTGTAACAAGCATTATTTTTTTGAAAGGTGAGAATGTGTTCTAGCTTGTAGTTGTGTTTTAGTGAAATGTAATGCATGGTTATAAGTCCTAGAAACAGCTTCAGTGTCTGGAAGCTGGTCCTTCCATATGGTTTAACAGGTAGTCCATAAAAGAGGACTAGCAGTCTGTAACAGTGGGATAAAAGACACTAACTCTGTTCTAATCAAAGACAGTGCACCTTTTTTAACTCTAAGTCTGTTTAACTACAAAGTTTGGTTGTAGGTCTTTATCTTCATGCTGAAATAAAGTGTTAATGTTAATAAATATTTACTCTACCATACTGGTGGTGTATCTCGAGCTATTCATGTTGTCCTGAACCATAAGCTCTTCATTATTTAACTTTTCATACCCTTTGCATTTGCAAAGGAAACATCTGATGGCCAATTAATATGAGACACTGAACTTAAACAGATAGTGACTTAGGGGTTTGCAGGAGGTTTTATCAAAAACCTCATATTTATCAAAAACCTTTATTTTTTTTTCATAGCTAACCAAACAGTTCTGTGCCTAAAAAACAGTTAAGTTGCGAGGATCTGTTTGTGCTCTGGGGAAAAAAAATCCTTTGCTTGTTCTTGCTTATCGGTCATCTCTAACTGAAAGAGAATTGTAGTAGATCACGAAGACAGGAATTGGACAGTTTAACTTTTGTCATTAAGATCACTTCATTCCTTATCATTCCAGCAGACAGTCAGTATCAATTATTTTGTTTTGTTCTGAAAATGGTTAAGATACATATTTAAGAGTAACCATCTCATTCAGCTCTGATGAACTATGCTAGATTGTCAGGTGAGACTGAAGTTCTTCAAGTAGGAGCTGTCTGGTACTGTGCACTGTACCTCCACTGGGCTGAGGGAGGCTATTTCTGTGGGAGAGGATAACTAGTGTAGCAAGGCCAAGGATTTAAGGCTGATGATAGGGCTTTGTCATTGTTGCTTACTAAGCTGTAGATGTATGTAGGCATGTGCACAGGGAGCCGGCTGAGGTTTAATAGGTAGTTACAGGGGCAAAGACTGCTCTACTTGAATTTATCCTGATGGCCTGGAGTTTAAAAGTGTAACAATTTGGTTAACTATTGCTGCTATTTAAAATTCTCTAGGTTGCTGTACTACTCATGGATACCCAAGGTGCCTTTGATAGCCAATCCACTATCAAAGACTGTGCAACGGTTTTTGCTCTACAGGGAGCTGGCTGAGGTTTAGTAGGTAGTTACAGGGGCAAAGACTTGCTCTACTTGAATTTATCCTGATGGCCTGGAGTTTAAAAGTGTAACAATTTGGTTAACTATTGCTGCTATTTAAAATTCTCTAGGTTGCTGTACTACTCATGGATACCCAAGGTGCCTTTGATAGCCAATCCACTATCAAAGACTGTGCAACGGTTTTTGCTCTGAGCACCATGACGAGCTCTGTCCAGGTGAGAATACCTGTGCTGGCAAATAGTGGCAGCTTTAGGAACACTCTAGCCTGAACACGGAAGGAGTATCTCTCTAGCCACGCTTTGAAAGTTCACCTGCATATCTTCCTCCAATTATGATTTAAGCTTTCATACTTAATGTCTTATTTTCAGTGTAATATACTACATAAGTTTCTCAGTGGAATCAAGGTTATCCAGGGCCAAGCTGAATTAAATTGCTGACTGAACTGGGGAATCCCAAAGAAAAGATGCCAAAGTAGCAACCACTTCTGTACACAGGTGCTACAGAATCTTTTTTTAACACTTTAGATACAGCTTGGGGTGAAATTACACTGATCAGCTAAACTTACAATTGCTGCTACTGTTAAACTTCTGACAATTCTTTTGTGCTATGCTCAAAACTACTTCTAAGCTTCTGCCTTAAGCAAGCCAAAAGTGAGCAGGTTTTTGAGGGATGACAAGTGACCTTCAGACATGCTAAAACACGAAAGTATTGAGAGTATGTAGAACACCACTTCTGCCCTGTGGGGCTGTGTTCGTGGGGTTTCTTTGTTTGGCTTTTTATGTCTGTTTTGTTTTGTTCTTGTGGTTAGGGTAAGTTGTGGGTTATCAATGCATCTTTGAGTTTACTGCTGTTCAGGATTTGTGCTTTTGAAACAGATGTGAGCTCCCTGGATTAAATGAGATTTGTCTGGGAAGATTTGAAAGCAAAAAAACTTTGAACTAACTACCCAGTCATTTCTCTGTTGGAGATGCAGCTGCTGGATCACTGAGTCCTAGAGCATTTGGACTTGAGGATGGCAAACAAATGTGCCCTTCTCAATCCTCCTGTCCCACACCTATGTGGTGATTTGAAGCATTCAGCAGTCTTCTCTGATTCCTTTATGGCTCGCTGCCTTGGACATAAGCTGTTTTAAGAAGGATTAGGTTAGTCAGCAGTGGTTTTGTCCCTAGCATTTTGTATAAGGACGTGACTTCTGGGATGCATTCTGTGACACCTTTCTAGTTGCTGACTTTTCTGGAGGGGGTAAAAATACTCAAGCTATCCAAAAGAGACTACATGAATGTAAGATAATGTTTTCATGTTAGACTGTAATTCTTTTACTGGCTCTTGCAGGTATATAACTTGTCCCAGAATATTCAGGAAGATGACCTTCAACATCTGCAGGTAACAATATGCTGAATTTATATTAAGCTGCTTCTGAACTGATAATCTTGACATTGTGATTTGGGAGCTGCATGCTACTTCATATAAAACACTGAAGCTGACCTGATGCTAAAACTAGTATTGCCTGTAACAACATCATTTGCATCAGCTCCATGATGCTTCTGCTGTGACAACACAGAGGTAAAATAGTACAGGCTTCTAATCTGGCTAAATCTTATCTTTCTAAACTCTGTGCTTTATGTGGTAAGTTCTGAAATTCCTGAAAGGATGAGAAAGGGAAATGTTTTATGGAAGTACTTAGTGAGAAAATTCCAGTGCTGCTTCTTTTTCCCTAAAGTAGAAACTGGTTATGAAATATCATCTGTTTTCCTAAAGAAATGTAGGAGCTTGGATCAGGGCAGAAAGAGTATCTTCCACCTAGAAGCCTTCTCTAGTTTTTCAACTGAGAAACTTCTACAGAGTTTTATTTCTGCTTAGAAAAAAAACCAGGGAAGAGTTGTCCTTTCTTTACTGTGGGATTTTCATCCTCTAATGGAACATTGTTGTCAAAGACCACTGAATTCTGGCTTCATGTGAATGGTGCAAGAACCTTATCTCCTTAACGTAAAACCTGTAGCTTTAAAGGCTAGCTTGTGTATTAACAAATGCCTGCCTGTGCTCAGGCCATGACCTTGTCACAGCTTAAAACTGTTTTACGTGTCTTCTGATTGAAAGGACTTCTGTCTTGGTAAGTACTGCAAAAGACTGGCTGCCAATATTGGAAGTAGAAGAGCACTAACTAAACATAGTCTTGTGATGCTGTTCTCAGTTAACAGAGTTGTATCACTGGGTCAACACCCCCCCCCCCACTCCCTAAAAAAAAAACCCCAACCAAGCACTGCAAACAAAAAAAGCCCTAGCTAATTATTTGAAAGCCAAACTTTCTTCATGACTTTAGTCCTTTGACAGCTTCAGCGCAATTTGAATAGAGCGATCCCTTTATGTTATACTGAATGGTGAGATTTGAGGGATGAAAGAGAAGAGTGATAAATACAAGCAGTGAGTAGGGGACACCCATGCATTTAAAGTTGGGGCAAGGAATTGTGGGCCGAGGGAAGGAAATTCTGAATTTCTTTTGTAACAGGAGTTTCTGTTACTCTGAAATACTGTTAGTCTCTGTCTGGCTTTTCTATGTAGCAGGGGAGTGAATTGGATGGGGAGTTAGGATGAAAGGAGCCAGTCTTATGTGGGTACTTGGCCACTTCAGAGCTTCTTTTGCTGAGGATGACAAGGGCTTGGAATCTCATTTGTGTTAAATTAGTCTTGTAGTTCTCAAATGCTCTTGTGATTAACATGGGAACTGTGTCCTTTTAGCCATGAAATTCATCTGAGATGTTCCACGAGTTAGGAAATTGTTCTTCTGCATTAAAATTGGTACTAGAGGGTACGGGTGTGCTTCCTCCATCTTGATTTCCAAGATCTGTAAGGGGGCTAGCATGGATCAATGCCTGACAGCATTGACCTCTGCTGAAACAGCCAGCATAGTCCATAATTTGTGTTCTTGGGGGTTGTCTGGCCCACTCAGTCCAGTGAAGAATGCTGCTGCTGGTATTAAAGATGGTGAAAGCAATGAGAGGAAGACAGCTGACACTTGCCATTAACTGATAATTGTTCTTTCCTTCCAGTATAAGGTCACAGGCTGAAGTAGAGATCTGGGATGCCGCTGAACTTGGCTTATATTTAAATGTCTGATACGTTGGCTCTAGCCAAATTCTTTGAGATTTCCAGGAATAAATCTTTTGTGGGAAGTAAGGGGCAAATGTTAGCCAGGCTTGCCTCCTTAGCCTAGGAAACAAGTGTTGCAAACTGGCTTGCTGAGAGACACAGCCAGCTTTCCTCTGAGAATAGCCCACAGGCCACCCACTTAGAGCTGTGGTGTGTTGACAGTTATGGAATGGCACTGTGGAACCAGGGGAAATCATGTCTTCTTCCTAAATTTTACTGAGGATTGGTGTACTTGAGGTGTATTGGCCATTCTTATCCTATAATAGGATTTAAGATTGAATGCTTTATTTTCTAGTGACACAATAGAATATTTTACAGTAGAAAAATGTGTTTTATATGTGGCATCCTTACATACTTCTTTCTGTCAGCTGTTTACAGAATATGGAAGACTAGCTATGGAAGAAATTTACCAAAAGCCGTTTCAGGTAACTATATATGTTAAATGGATCTTAAGCAATTGAATGTGTAGAAAATGAGGCACGATAATTTATGAAGAGAAATTAGTTGGGCTGAAGCTAGTCTGTTCTTTACAAGTCTGATTTTCCTTCCCTGTCATCACACTTCTTGGCCAAAACACAATGGAAAAATGCTGAAGAGGATCACATTTTGGGCAGGTATAGCTTTGTGCCAGAGTTTTAAGGCATAAAATTGAAGTGTCAAGTGATGTGCACACATCAAGGAGAAAAGTTTTGCACTGCCTTTGTACTCATTACTCTTTGAGATACGGTTGGTTTTTGATGATTCGTTGTTCTCAGTAAAGGTCATATGGCCTCTAAGAAATAGCATTGAGGAGGGTCATGTTGTGTTTCATTTACTTAAAGCGTTACTGGCTTCAGCATTAGAACTCTCAAAACTGCTAGCATCTCCTGACTGTTTGCTAGGCCAGAGAAGGGTTTGAGGTTTTTTCCTTTTAGTGGAGACAGACTGAGATCTCTTCCATGTTGAAGTATCCTCCTTAACCTATAAGGGTACTAGTTGACTGCTGTTAGTGGTGAGTTTTAAGACTCTTGTGTGTCTAGAATATTCAGCCTGGAAATGTGAGTCCCCATTGTTCCTGTGATTGGCCCAGCAAGATGCATTCTTCATAAAGCACCTTCTCTGATACAAGAGTAATGCCAAGGTTTGTTTTCTGTCTTCAGTTGATGGGAGAGAGGACAGTGTAATCCCTGTGGGAAAGCAAAAGGCAAATCCATGGAAGAGGAAATTTATCTTTTTGAGACACTTTGGTACTTTTCAGATAAGGAATGAGTTGCATTTGTGTTTGGTGTGTGGGTTTGGTTGTTTTTGTTGGTTTGGGGTTTTTTAAACAAGCAAACACTTGCGCCACAAAACTACATGCCTACTTCATTTAGAGCAGCTAAGCTTAGAAATTTTTTTACTTAGAATAATCATGTGTGTGATAGAGTTCTTGACCTCAGGAATGATGCAAGCCATTCACTGCTGCTGTTCTTCCTGTTACAGACACTAATGTTCTTAATTAGAGATTGGAGTTATCCTTATGAACATGCATATGGCTTGGAAGGAGGAAAAAAGTTCCTAGAGAAAAGATTGCAGGTAGGTTATCTCCAGTAGTCCTGGTATGGTCTTCTAACTTAAGTGACAACTTACTATCAAGATAATGAGCTTGTTCCCAGTCATGTGTGGGGTTCTGGGGTTTAGAACTTGACTCTCTTAGTTTCAGGAATGAAAGCTTAAACACACCTTTGTGCTCTTACTGCTTTTAAGCTGATATTTAATCTTAATTGCAGTACTGTAAAACTACTAACAGTTCTTACTGCCTGTTTTAGGTTTTTGGTTTTTTTTGGTCTGGTGAGGTTTTTTTAATTGTTTTTTCTTCAGGTAAAGCAAAACCAACATGAAGAGCTACAGAACGTAAGGAAGCACATTCACTCCTGTTTCAGTAATCTTGGCTGTTTCCTGTTGCCCCACCCTGGTCTTAAAGTTGCAACAAATCCAAATTTTGATGGGCGGTTGAATGGTAGGAAGCTTTCTATTGTGTATTTCTTGATTCAGATTACTAAGTTTATTTTCTTTTATAATGGAAGTTAAACACTGAAATGGTTGGCTATTGAAATGTTGATTGGAAAAATGTAAGGCTGAAAGGTGAAACTATGGAATCTAGAAATGTGTATTGTGTGTTCTTTTCAGTGGTTTAAAGGTAGAGGAGTTAAGCAGGCAAAGGGAATAGATATTTTTTTTTGTGTCAAGCTGTTGATAGTAATCTGATAACTTGGACATAAAAGTCATTAAATAAGGATTCCAGAGGGGAGAATCCAAAGCCTTTTCTCTAAGAACTTGCTAAACCAAAGTTCAGAACTAGAATGACTTTAAAATAAGAGCTGTAGGCTCCTGCTACTGCAGGATGAGAGGCAGTCAGGATCACTCCAGTTGCTGCTTGTCCCCCATCAGAGGGAATGTATCAAAATGGCAAAGGCTGAAAGGTGAGTTCATGATAGTGGGGTGCCAATCACTTCTGTGCTGAGGGTGCAGACCTGTGGGATTACTGTGTAAGTGTTAGTGTTATTGGGGAAATGCACTTTAAATATTACAAGGACTATGGAACTCTATTCTCTCAATTGGAATTTAGGGTTAAAGAGTAGGTAGAAACCTATATTATGTATTTAAGCCTTTAAACATCTTAAGAATGCAGTCAAGAGTTGTGATGCTATGGATTTTGAAGGGTCGTGGGTTATCAGTGTTCCTTTAGGAAATGTAAGATTGGGGAAAAAAAAAAACTAACCATTTTTTTTTCTGAAATTGATTGAATTCTACTAGATATAGATGAGGATTTTAAGAACGAACTGCGGAATTTGGTACCATTACTACTTGCCCCTGAAAACTTGGTAGAAAAAGAGATTAGTGGATCCAAGGTGACCTGTAGAGATCTTGTAGAATACTTCAAGGTAAGCAAACTCATACTAATTATTTCTGTTAATGGCTTAAAAGAAAGTATTCTAATTTTAGGGCATGTTGTTCCCAGAGAAGATAAGATATCTAGGCTGACACTCACTGATCAGCTCACTTTTATTTTCATTTCATTACTCTGACTTTCCAGAACTGGCACACAACTTCCTAACAGTGTAGGTCTTAGCAAGCTAGTATTGGAAAAAGTGTTTTTTCTTTTGCTTTGTAAATAGCCTGGAATACTATTAGAGATTTTTTTTTCCTACTTTGAAATCCTAGTTTGTCTGGATATGTTGCCCCTTTTAAAAAGAAAAGAATAAAAAAAGAATGTCATGTAGATTGTATAGATAGAAAACCAGCTCTTAAATGCTAAGTATGCAGTGAAAATTTCAGATATTCTCCTCTGGATTTTTAACATGCAAGGAAGACGCTTTCTAAACACTTGCATGTGCAGCACTACTGTATGCTCTGAAATATTTGTGTATGATAGTTGCAGCTGTTAGACTGTTGAGCTGTTTTGGTATCATGGTGACACCAGCAGAAATGCGATAACATAATCCCTACATCACCAGGAATTGGTTTGGTGTGTGTAACCTTTTTTTAATTGGAATGACTTAAACAGTTGGCTTGGTAGGAGAAAGTGGCGCTCTTTCCTAAAAACATTGATTTTCTATTACTACTTTTGAACATGCACGTTAAAGGTAGAACAGAGTTGGGCTGATGTTAGGAAAGAAGCTATGCAAGGGAGGAATCCAAGACCAGAATTCTTTCAACACTTGTAAAATGAAATAACTTTTTATAAAGGAAAGACATAATATGGGATGCAGAAGTCATGGCTGCTCTGACAGGCATAAAATCAACATTCTGGAGCTCAAATGTTCAGTCTCTGTGTTTACATGTTTGCATGCTGCTTTTTGTTCCACTTCTCTAGTAACACTTGATCCTATACAGTGTAGGGAGTGTGCATTCAACAGCAGTTTAGAAAAGGACTGCACCCTCAAAACTGGGTGTAAAACCTTCTCTATTGGGAAGCTGCCTGATTGATGTCCTGTATCCGGTGTGGGAGCAGTCATGCAGGGTGCTGTGGAAATGCTGTGGTTATGTAACTAAAGAGGACTGCTCCCTTGGGACTGTGCATCTCAAGCTGAGATCATGAAGTCTGAGTTGGAAACTGGAGGGCTTTTACTTGGAGGAAATAGCTACAGAAGCAAGCAGGGTGTCGAGGGAACAGAGTCCTGTATAACTATATACATTTTTGTAGGTTGTCCTACAACCTAGAGCATTGGGTATATAGGGACCCTGATAACCTTGTTCTCTCCTCCTCTACAGAGAAAAATCCTCAGGATGGAAGCTTGTAGGGAGAGTAGTAGTAGCATGAAGAACAACTGCCCAGCCTCCCGAGAGGCTGAGAGTGGCCTTGTTGGTCTAACTTGTACAGCTTGTCCAAAGCACTGAAACAGCTACTGCTGCTTGCTATGCCCCCTCCTCTAATCTGTCCCAACAAGCTGTGCCATGGGCCGCCTTGTAGGCTGGAGAAGATGACATGAAGGACATGTTCTCCTCCAGCCTTCTGAAACCTTGCTGAAAGAAAAGACACCTGAGGATTAGTGGGGTGAACAGAGGGATAGGCTGCCTGCTTGGCTTCCAGAAGTATTACAGCTCAGCTCTGTCTGCATTATTACTTTGATCTGCTTTTTTTTCTTTCCACACTTCAAGGGAGCAAGGCGTATGGGGAAATGTAAATGCTGGTTCTCCCAGCACTGGGGTGTGTTTGGACAGACCTCTTGCCAGAAAGGATGTGTGAGATAGTCATCTTCACACTTTTGTTTTGGGTGAAGATTCTCTGCCTAGTGAAGACTGTCTCATGTATTTGAGGGAGCAGAAACCTGCTGTCAAGCCTGTCGCTTCTCAAGATAGTGGCCATGTCTCCTCAAGGTGGTCTGCTACCCTGATAGGACCCAGCCTCAAACGCACAGGAAAGTAGAGGGTTTAAAGCACTAGGGATAACTGTGAGAATGCCAGACTTGAATGAAGAAACTTGCTTCATATAGTATTATTATAAAGAAATAATCTATGAGCTCTATCTTTATATCACCCCTCTTCTCTCCTCCTCAATCATAAATATTTAGGAAGAAGAAACCTTTCTTTCTTTTCTCCCACTTAGGCTTATATTAAAATCTATCAAGGAGAGGAGCTACCTCATCCAAAATCTATGCTGCAGGTATGTTATTTTTCTTACAAATAATTGATAGATGTGTACTTTGTAAGTTCTTTGCAATTGAAGATCATGACTGCTGTGGGTCTGAAGCTCCCACACACGAGCTATAGTTCTTGAAGGAGCTACATGGCACCAGGCCTGACAAACTCTGATGGGATTCACTTCTCTCAAAGGGGGAAGAGGATCTTTGCCCAGGAACTAGCAGGGCTCATCAACAGAGCTTTAAACTAGGCTCGAAGGGGGAGGGGGATAACATCAGGCTTGCCAGAGACATGTTGTGGGATGATGTGCCCGGTTGGAGGGATGGGGAGCTGGTGAGGGCCCTCAGCCTACTGCTCAGAGA